AGTCATCCCTGAGGTCCCTTCTGCATCCTAAGATCCTGGCTATTGGGTCATAGCAGGGATCAAGCTCAAATACCTCAGGACCCCAGGATAAAGTTAATGTTTACTGAGCATTTCTTCTGTGCCAGAGACTGTTTGAATCACATTAAAAAGAATTTTTAACTTCTTTGATTTCCATAACAATTCTGTAGCGTCTGTTCTCATTCTTTTAGAGTTGAGGAAACTGAGGCACAAAGAGGTAATGGAATGTTCCAAAGTCAGACGGTGATGGGAAGGAAGGGGGATTGGTGCAAGCTGGCCCATCAAAAAGCCAAGAAAATGCAGCCATACAGGAATATAGGGATTTGGTGCCATGAAACTGGGGAGCTGCCAACCCAACAAACCCACTCCCTGGTCACACATACCAAGGGGGTTTCCAGTTTGCTGCAACTTCCCATCTCTAGGTTTAGTCCTTTGGACGAAATTCTCATGTGGTCTTCACTGACCTTATGTTAAATGTTAACAGCAGTGAGGAAGATTCCTTAGAACTTGAGCCAGCTGTAATCAGTCTTGATTACCCCATGACCCCAGCTTTGCAATCTAGGATTACCACCAAAGTTAAGACTATACAGAAGGATAAAGTGTGTCTGGAACAGGAGGAGGCAGAAAACTTGCTGGTCACTCAAGTTTTCTTACACAGTAATTTGCCTTCATGGTCAAATATGAACAGCTTCCCTAAATGTCCTCAGGAAGCACATCATCCATCACCCCAACCCCAGCCCATGACCTCCAAGTCATCAGGAGATGAGCTTTTCACCACAGGACATTCAAGTCATCAGGGAGAGAGCTTCCAGCGCAGCCCTCCTTGGTGGGCCACAACCTTGAAGACCCCTCAGAGTGCTTTCCGAAATGCCCTGGATTAGAGCAGCTGGCAGGGAAAAGGGTTGAGGGAGGGGGGTGCTGGAGTAAGTGTTTGGGTGCTGTCATGGAAACAATGGAAAGCTGGAAGCCTGCAGATCTGGGGGAAGCCTGGGCCACCTCCATGGAATTCCTTCTTTGAGCCCACTATGCTTTCTCCAGCAACCTAGAATCCCCTCCATTCTCAATTCGCACTGACTTTTACCATCCCATTCTCCCTCAGGTGCCAACTCAACTCAGCCCCTTCACAAAGCTTTGCCTAATCCTCCTGTCATCTCCCAGAACCATCAACTTGCACTGACTTTTACCATCCCATTCTCCCTCAGGTGCCAACTCAACTCAGCCCCTTCACAAAGCTTTGCCTAGTCCTCCTGTCACTCCCGGAACCATTTACTTGTATTTCCTAGGAAACACTTAACTAGTTGTGTTTTATAGTTTTCACTGTGCTCATCCATTTTCCCCAACAGAAGACAAATTCCTTGAGTTCACCGTCTGTGTCTTTAGTTCAGTTTGGAATTGCTTACCCAGGTAGTTGGCTGGCTTTCTGCTCCTTGTTAGGCAATATGATTCAGCAAAGCGTTAGAAAGGAGAAAATATCCTCTCGTGCATGTTGAGTACTTGATAGCACGCACTGAACTGAACTGTCTGCTCTGCATTGCACAGTGTAGAAATGCTGTTCTTGGCCTCCTCAGCCTCAATTGTATCAACAACCCGGACTCAGGGAAAGGAAGAAAAAAGCCAGCAAAAGGGAGTTTTTCCCTCTGGGAAAAAGAAGAGCTTTCTGTAGTAATAACTAGTTTTTGCATCCTTGAATTCTTTGCCACTGGATCACAAGAGGTATCAGAAAATTTAGTGCTATGAACATACTCAATTGACTAGGCAATCAGAAATCACCAAACCAAATTAAATCCATCCATGAACACCAAAATGTGTTGGGAACAGAACCAAACAAGATTTTTTCAACAATGGTGACACTACACTTTCAGCTGATGGGAACTTAGTATTCAAAATGGCACCCATGGGGCTACAGCACATCTCTGATTGAGGTCAGCAATCTTTGAAAGTCAGTCTGCCTGCTGTCATCTCTGTTTCCTGGCACTGACAGCCTCATTCGATATTCAAACCTAGCCAGTCACCAAAAAAGACCTGCAGAGCGTGCCTGTGCTCTGGAATGCCAAAGAACATTTGGCATGGAGACCAGGATGAGAATTTCCCAATCTCGGAATATTGAAACTCCAATGGTGAATATTGTTTTTCCTGAATGTCTCCTCCTACCTGATCATAGTGCTGTGTGTGAACTCAGACACCCACATGGCAGTGGAACGAACACCGGATATGGCGGGATAGGAGAACTGCTGCATCATCTTTGAGCTGGGTGACCTTGGGCAGTTCATTTCAGTGGGCCTCATTGCCTGCCTCTATAAAAATGTTTGTTCATTAACTCAGAAAACATTTTCCAAAGGCAAGTATGTCCCAAATGTTGGAAATTCTATGAAGAGAACAGATTGTTCCTAGAGAGGAAGATAAACTGAGTAATTATTGAAGCAGTAACGGGCTATGGTGATGGTGGCAGGGTAGAGATGGGGTCACAGGCCGGGCAGGGGGTCTAACCTTAATGAGGTCATGAGAGGCTTCCCAAGGGGAGTAATGGTTCAGCTGAGACCTAATGAATCTACAGACGGGACACTCAGTGACAGAGGTTGGGGTAGGATTGGTGTAGAGTTGTGGGTTTCAGATGAAGAAGCTGTGTAGAGCCTCAAAGCAGGAAAGAGACCACGTTCAGGAAATCTTACTGAAAGTGAGAAAGGGAAGGTTTTGTGAATGTAAGAGCGACTGGTTGCCATTGCCTATCCTTGTGTTTTCAGCCGATGAAGTGGCTTTAGGAAACGGAAAACTAAAACCCTGCCTCGGCCACTAACCAGCTCTGCAATGTTAAACAAATTCTGAACATAGTTCTACTCTTCAGTTTATTCATCTGTGAAAAAGGGCAAGAAAGTCCTGCCCTCCCTCCTTCTGAAAGATTGAAGAAATGTTTGTAGAAGCCTTTAAAAATGAAAACGAGTTACAAATGCGGACCTTCAATAGAAGTTTCTCCAGTCATAAATGAACATATGACCATTCATGTCAGTTCAAAGACTAGAGAAGTGATTACATCAGAGCCTTTATCTACTGCCCCCCCCCTTTCCCAGGGGATCAGGAAATAAATAGCAGTTTCTTTCTGATTGGTTTGGTGATATTTCATTTCAGTTCATAATCAGATTTTGTCTAGGGGAGAGAGTATGCTATTAATAAAAAGGTGTTTTTTTTTTTTATTGTAATATTTGTGATTACTGAGCACGGCTGGTTAGGGCAGGCAGTCTGGGAACCCCAGGGAGCTGAACACTTACTCTAGCCAAGGCATACCTGGAATTTAAGAAGGATCAAACAAGAAAAGGTGGTCTGTAAAACATGGATGCTGTTTTATCTCCTCTGTTCACTAACTTTTAGGGCCTCCCTGGGCCCATTATACCAAACCTATATTAAACCTTCTCAGCTCTCTGCAATTTCACCATCCCTGCCTCTGCCACTCATTTCCCACTCTTCCTGGAAGGTGTCTTCACTGCTATGCCAGCCCCAAGCTCCGTATGTGCTGGCCTCTGTGTGGCCAGCTCTCCACATGGTAACATGCAGCATGGGGCCTGCACAACCTAAATGAACATTGATCTCTCTTTCTAATGGTGCATACGTTTGGGCGCTTTAGGATATTTACTTCAGCCTCTACTTGCTGTTATTATTTTTGAAAACTAAACCCTGCAGAGCATTTTCAGCTTATAAAGAACTCTCACTTGTGTTATGATCATACATCAGGTAACAACGAGGATATGTTCTGAGAAGTACATTGTCAGGTGATGATGTAGTTGTGCAGATGTCAGTGAGCTTAATTACACACTTGCATGGTAGAGCTTAGAGCACGCTGAGGTGGATGGTCAGCCTGTTGGGAACACCAGGGCATCTGTCGTCTGTCATTGACCGAAACGTCCTTAAGCCACTCAGGACTGTATTTATCTTTCACAACACTTGTGGGTCAGTGTGATGATTATCTTTCCATCTAACTGATAAGAAACCTGGGACTTCAGGTTCAGTGACTTATATTTTCAGTGACAGAACAGAGCAGGACTTACAGTGTGCTAAGTTTCATTGATAAATGCTCCTAGGATAGGCGCCAGGTCACATATTTCCTTTTTTTTTTTTTCCCTCAGCACCATGTTGATCACCTAGTAGGTACTTTGGTAACACTTCATGAAATGAAACCCATTTGCAGTTTTGAAAATTTAATTCCAATAGCATATGTGATTGATGCAGATAGTTATTACCACTCATCCTCTTCATGTAGACAGAGATATAGGCTCACAGCATTATTTTCATTATAATAACTCAGTAAACAAAGTAAGGGCAGCACACTTTCCATGCAGGCCTCTTCCCCCCACCCCCTCTACCCACCTTTAGAGTCAGTGGGGGCCAGCCACAAAGCACTCCCTGGGCACACATCAAGTAGCACAGCCCCGCCATATCAGGCTAAGGATGGAATGTGCTTGTCAGAACTTGCTCAGCCGGGTGGACATGCTCAGCTGGCCCACAGGAACCTCAGGTCACCTGGGCATGGCACGTGGAGGATTCAGATTACCCAGCTACAGAGCCAGGTGGAAGAGCTCACCTGGGAGAGGGCGGGTCCATGCAGCATGACCTTCCAGCATGGCAGTAAATTTCCCAAGAATCTTCAGGCTACTTTGACACCCTGGCTGAATGGAGGAAGGATGTTTTTTGCCACATCCCTACATCATGATACCCAGAGTATAATAGCAACGCTGATTCAAAATATTTGTAGGGTCCCTGGTAGTACAGGAATGCATTTGTCAGTATTGTCTGCTTTGGCACCTGGATTTCATGAGACAGGTCTCACGTCTACTTTGGAAGTACAAGTAGCGGTCAAACCTTCAGAATAGTAGACTAAGAGGAAGCCCATCTCCCTCCCAACCTTGCCCCCAACATCTGTCAATAGAAGCAGTGTGTGTCATCATTCTTTTATGTAGTTTTATTTTATTAATTCAAATTTTAAACTTATCCAGATTTTATTCCATCTTGGTGATGAAGAATCTGATGCCCAAAGCAAATGTGTCATCTTCCCAAGAAAGCACGCTGAGGAAGTCACAGGTGAGCATTTGAACCAGCTTCCCCTACCCACTTCTGTTTGTGTCCCCTATTCTCCTGGTATTCATACTTTTAGCCTGGAAATCAGCTCATAGGACCATAAACAATAAAACCAGATAAAAGTCAAAGCCAGAACTAGAGTTCTGGAGCCCCGCAACTCCCACTAAGGAGTAGAACTATCTGCCCCTTCGCGGGCTGCTCTGAGTCAACTCCCCATCCTTAATATCTTATCCTGTCTTCTAAGGAACAGAAGTCAGGCCACACTCTATCAAATGTTCCCACTCAGTGTTTTACTTTTTCAAGAAGTTAAAAAGTCTTTTGGGCTGCTGATAGGAAATAAAACCTCAAGTTTGATGCAGGAATCAGCCCTACGGTCACCCTGTGGAGAGTTTGGAAAGAAGGCCTGAGTTCAGTGACCTTACCTGTCACCCTCCCTAAAAATCTTCTACAAAGCTTTGAGGTCTACAGCCAAGACTGGCGCAGTATGTGAGGATGGATGGGGAGGGGTCACCGTGTATGTATGTGTGTGTGTTAGTAACCATAGGGCACCAGCCCTGCACCCTGCTTCTGCAACCCCCAGCTTAAACAATTGTCCATTCTGCAAATCAAATATTTTCGCACTGCTATCTCATATGGGAGGGGAATTTCAGCATAGAGAAGATATTTTCGGGTGCCGTCAGACAAACCAAGGGGATCAGAGAGGGGATGCAGTCAGTGGTGGTTCCAGAATATCTCTATAACAGAAGCTTAAAGGTAATATTCTAGTTGCACCAAGGTACCCAAAGCTGCAATGAAGAGACAAGTAGAGTCCTAAGTATCAAAGGAAAAGGATGCAGTTGCACACTGGGTATCAATAAATAATTTAGCACACTTACATGCCCTCTGCACTCACCAACAATTATTTACCAACATTAAGAAAAATCTTCACGTGCCATTTGAGTCTCAGATTTAAATCCAGATGAAAGTAAAGGATTTAATGTCAACCCCTCTGTATTACTGTCTTCAGGAGGAAAGCCTGTAGCCCAAAGTTTAGTGAATCTGGAACATTCCACATTGTGCATTCCTTGGGGGTGGGGAAGTGAGTTACAACTGGAATGAGCATTTTCTGCTCACTCCCACTATAGTTGGCTTTGACAAAGGCCTTTAAACCTGAATATTACACTAAGGTAACTTTGGGCTTTTAATTGTCCCAAACTTTCGTTAACATTAAATGAAAGAAGGAAATGGAAAGGAAAATTAGCCATTTCTGCATTGCTTTTGAATTGCATAATTGTATATTTTTGCCACTCCATTAGTTTTCATCTAGTCCAGCCTATAAACCTCTCCCTCACCACCACTCAGAAAAATAAATAAGTCTGTCATTCAGTTATTGTTGCAAAGTTAGCAGACTTCTAAGTCCTCCACTGTAATATTAAAAAGAATTATGTAACTTTCCATTTGAGGTCTATTTTTTAATTCCTACCTGTGTGCGAGACCTTGAATCACACAAGAGTTTAGTTGTCTTCTTGCTTTTTCAAAAAACACTCTTTGCCTCCAAGAGGACATGACGTTGGAAGATTTACACAGCAGTAATGAGAGGCAGCCACAGAGAGGGACCTTTATTTCTGGGACAGAGGAACCACTGCCCCTCCCAATCCCACAAATTCAAAAATGACCTCAGAGTCTCACTTCCCCAAAATAAAACTTTACCTAGGTGCTTGACCACACCCACAAACTCTGGCTCTAAAGTCTTTTACCAAACAGTTTTGAACTGTGAAATTAACTAAGGTATTCGCTGTAACCATGACTACAGGCTTTATTAGCACCAACACCAGGATATGGTCAGACAGCAAACCCCAGCGTGAGTGAGGTCACTGTGTGTGCTCCGAAGTTCTCCACACTAGAGGCATAGCTCCTAAAGACACTGCTTCATAAAGGAAGGGATGAGGGCAGACACAGGGAGGGGAGCCCTGAAGAGGGTGGAGGGCTGCATTAGTAAGAGAAGCTCAGGGTTCTAATTTTAGCTTGAATTCATCTTTTTAGTATAATCCCCTAATTTACCACTACCTTGCATTTAGATTGCAATTTTCCCTTCTCCGTGTTCTTTCGCAGGTCTTGCTTTGTCCTTCCTAGCAATTCTGAGAGAAATCTGATATGGCTAATAGCTTCATTTCTCAGATGAGGGAAGGGCTTGGAAAGCTTAGTTGATGTGCCCAAGGTTAGAGATTTGGAGGACAATGAACCTGGATTAGAATTGGATGCTCTGATTTCTTGCTTAGTATTCTTCCCACCATACCCCTCTGCCAGCCTTTGGTATTGTGCCTGGGGACGTCTTGTTACATATGCATTCTCCTTGCAAACATCCCTCACCTTATCATTCCTCTGATTTCGTCAAAGACCAGGGGCAATGGTCACACTGGAAGTTACAACTGAAAAGTAAGGTCGTTGCCTTTTATCCTCACTTCTTTTTTCTAAGCCCTCTACACAGATGACAGCACAAATAATAGTTCCTACCTCAGAGGGAGGGTATGGTCCAAGGGTTGCAAGCTTAAAATGCCTCCAAGGACCAGGTAGGTGGCAGGATGGGTGGGTGGGAATTAAGGTGCAGGGGAAAGAGGACACAGGCCCTTCCAAAGCCCCAGAAGATTGTGGCTCAGTGGGAGGTTAGGCTAGTGGGGCCGAGTCTTAGAACTAGTTAATGATTGAGAGTTGTATGTGAAATCAGGGGGAAACATACAGTAGAATAAAATTGGACTATCATACCTAGACCGCCAGTGAGCACCCAAGGAGTTTTATGCCTTTAGGTCCCCAACAGCCACTGTCACATGTGGCAGATACTTCTCTTCTGACATTTTTGGTCTTATTAAAATTTAAGATCCTTAAGGTCACAAAGGACATTTAATCAATCAAGTGTATATCCACATACTTTGTGGCACACATCACAGGCTTCAAGTGCTTGCACTGGATGAATGTCTGGGTGCCTGTCCCACTCCCCACAGGATAAGATCCAGAGACCGAGGTGCTCAGTCTCCCCAGAGTGGCAGCTGGATAGCACAGTGGCTACCGCAGGGTCTTTGGACTCAAACAAGGCTAGAGAGGACTTGGGCGGCTCCTTGCATGGCTTTGGGCAACCTAGGGAGTGCCAGGTAACCTCCATTCCCTCAGTTGTGTCAGAGAGGTAAAAAACCCTGTTTCTTAAATTGTTAAGGAGACTATGTCTGGCTGGATTACACATGCAGAGTTACGCACTAGTAGTCACTCAATAAATAATGGACTTTCTATTCAACAGATGATTCATTGTTCTTGTGAAAGGTGATAAGACAGTCTGCCAACCATGTTTTAAGGTTTTTGGCTTCCTAAAATAACTATGTCAAAAGAGGCCAGTCCAAAGAAAACAAGTGAGCATTCTAGCAGAAATGAAGACGGGAAAGTTGATAGTGATGGACAAGAAAGGCACCCCTAAGAAACTCAATCCGGGAGGTCAGAAAGGCTGAAAGAGGGAGACACAGCTGGGAAAGAATAGAAATAAAGATAGCAAAAAGCAGAGAAAGACAAATGTGTCCATCCTGATTTCCAGAAGATGGTTCATTCACTCTTTAACCTGGTTCGGTGAAAAATTGATCAAACTCTTATTAGAACAAAATCATCCTTTAATAAATGGATGTTTTTATATTCCTCACCACATGAACAGCATAGTAGCAAAAATACTTTTCAACTACACAGCTCTCAACTGTATAGTTTTCAAGACAATTTAAAGCACCCACTATGTGAAGTGTACATAGGGTAAATGCTTCACACACTATCTCTTTTCCTCCTAGCAATGTATTTATTCAATCATGCATTCATACATACATTCAGTAAAAACTTATTGCCATCTACTTTCTACCAGGCACTCTTGGTAAAATATTGAAGATAAAATGATGCAGTACGGTAGATAAAATACCTAACCCTCTGAGATTTGCTACTGTCTCTGTTACAGAAAGAGAAAACTGAACTCAGTGTCCAGACTTTTGTACCCTATCAGCAGAGGAGGTAAAATTCTTGACTATAAGTATTATGGCTTAGGAAAAGAAAAATCAGGAAATCTCCTTGATGATCTCAGGCGGGTAAATATGAGGAAGTTGTTGACTTGCTAACAGGCTAGAGATAATATTATTCAATCATATTCAGCACAGTTGGAATTTTCAGAGAACCTGAGATACAATTTCTAATGACTGCTCTTGAGGGTGACTGAAAAAGACCAACTATTCTCAGAGTCTGTGGCATGGACCCTGCAGAGACAATTTAATTAGGGATGGGAAGAGGAAAGGAAAGTAAATGGTAAGGAGGAAAGGTAAAGGAGAATGAAATAGCTAGAGATTCTAGACTTTGTATTACAGGAAGTCAGAGAAAGCCCAAATGAAACTTTCTAAATTTCTTTTCATTATTTTTAAATTATTCTCTAATTTTTCCCACAGTATGATCCTTGAGTAGAGAGAGGGTATCTTTTACCTCCCAAGTAATTCCTCGCATAGCTTAATTAATACTTGATTGATTGAAAGATTCACTCATTTGAACCTGGAGTGAAATGGAACATTTTAATTTTCTTTTCTGCTGAACCTGAAATAGAGCATATAGTAATTAGGAAAGGATCCCTTGTTATCAGAGAGTCCCAGCTACAATGAGCTCTTTGTAGCTGAGCAAAAGGAAGGTGGTTGATAAAGCACCTCACCCCACCCCCACCCACTCCACTTTCTGTGATATGGGCATTTCTTGATCATTATTTCCTCCTTCTGTGAGTTATTTGACTGAAGGATCTGGCTGGACTGCAACTAACCAGTGAGCAATATCATCAAAGTCTAGTCAAAGATGTAGTTGATGGTCACTACTCTGTGCACTCCACTGTCCCTGCTCTCTCCAGTGACCCCAGTTGACTGGTGGGCATTTTTTTCAAGAACTATTTTTTTCAGGATTCTTGGGTTAACAGACATGATTTCATTTGTTCAGTAAATGCCTGCCATGTACTGAATTTACTACGCATCCAG